TTTTTTTTTGAAACCCTTTTTTTCATAACATAAAAATAAAAATTTTAAAAACTGGCTAATGTTAATTTTGGGGGTTTAATAAAAAAATTTAATTTAGCCCCAACGGTGGAGTATGTTGTTAATTAGTTTATACAGATATTTTGTATTAGGGAGTCGCCGGTCGTCAATTACCAACCTCATTTCTATCCTTAGTATCTTTAAACAACAGCTTCTTGCCATGTAGCATCACCTTGGGGTCCACTGCTTAAGGTATATACTTAATACCTCTCTGTATTGAAAAATGCAACACTTCTTCCCTCGTAATCCAGCAAAGTATAAAAATGGACGATATGGTATCAATTATTGCTATATCAGAGGACTTAAACATAAGCTCAATATAATTGAAGAGGAGAATGAACGTTTACGTTGGTTATTTAATGATGAAAACGAAGTAGATAACACAACCGAGCGGAATAAAAGTCTAGCCAACATTAAAATAATATGCCTCTACGTGATTCCGATGTTTTCAAGAAGTGTTGAGAACAAGGGTGGAATTGTTGAGAACAGGAACGGACGGAAATTTCCGATCAGTCAAAGAATTAGAACGCGTTCTACGGGATCTGTTGCATTTGCAGCATATTTGATCATCCAGTAACTGGACTGATTTCAGGGAAGACATTCATATGTAATAGAATAATTTTTGACCATGACGCCGAAATTTTCAGTAGGGAGGGTTATCGTTACGTAACATTGACATTATTTCTACTGGTGTGCTTCAAACCGACACGTTCATTCATTATTATGTTAAGAAAAAAAAGTTACAATAAAAAGACAAAATAACTTTTCTCTTTTTTTTAATTATAGCATTTGTATGTAAAAATTCTTCTTTTCAAAAAAGTAACAGTGACAATCGAACAGAGCTTAAAATATTAAAATTTGCTATGTCAGGCAAACATTTATCTTTCTTTTGTCTATAGAAATTCATTGAACTTTTGTAGCCCACTTAACACTGCTTGCTTTAATTCTTTAAGTATATTCAGAAATACAGCATATGTATTGTCCAATATTCGATATAAGTTGAAATCTTTAAAAGTAAGACAATCTTCAGTACATTGATTAGTTATATACAGAGACATGATAATCTGCATCTTTATGTCCGCTTGACTAGAAAATTCAAAACTATATGCTTCTTATTTCTTCTTTTTTCTTTTCTATTCTTTTTGTATTTGCTTTTCAGCATTAAGGTTTCAGAAAAAAATTCATAATGGACGAGTATAGCACAAGTTCTGTAGAGTGGGACAAGCTGATACAAGCGTCCTGATGCCAAGTCATAGTGTTTAATAAAAAATTATATAGCCAAATTTGGAGTTTATTACTCCTATGTAGGCTATACAAAAGCCTAATTAAGAAGTTTAAAATCCCCCACACAGGAGATAAAAAGGTAATTAGGAGTTTAAAAGCTCCTATGTAGGGACTTTTTAACTGTACGTAGGGGATATAGGGGATAAAAAAGCCTAATTTTGAGTTTTAAACTTCTACGTAGAACTTTTAAACCCCTACGTAGGAGTTATTAAGTCCTATGTAGGAGTTTTAAACTCCTAATTAGGTTTTGTTAAAAGTCCTACGAAGGAGTTTACAACTCCAAATTAAATTTTTTTTACTCCAACGTAGTAGTTTTCAAAGTTCTACGTAGGAGTTTAAAACTCCTGATTATGATCTTTTTATCTCCTACGTTTAAAGGAGTTTTAAACTCCTAATAAGACTTTGGTATCTCCTATAAAGGAGTTATAAACTCCTAATTAGATTATATATTTTTCAGAGATCATTATGATTTGGCACCAGGACGCTTCCATAGATACATTAGTCGTTACTTAGCAATGATAATATTCATATAATGAGTCTAGCTTTTACTTTCAAACTAGCTTATGGTAATGTTAGGGCGTTTCAATAAGAATATGTTCAAATGAAGCCTTCATCTGTAGAGTGTGTTGTTTATTCATTGTACCGATAGTATTAGGAAGTCGTCAGTTGACAGTCTTAATTCTTTCCACAATATTATTTATTAATAACATTTCTTGCCTGCAAAGTGAGCTTAGACGAAATTTTACAGAAATCCTTCGGTTGCCCTCTACAAATATTATTTAAAAAGTTTCCGTCTTATGTATATGTAGGTCATGTGAGTCAAACAAAGGCTTTAAAGGGAAAATCTTGCATGGAAACTACAATACCCAAAATATTTTAAAAGTCTTTTCTTAAATAATTCATTGCATAAGTGTGTGAATGTATTGTGCATTTTATTCCTTTTAAAGAATGAAATGGAAGCCATCTCCATATCAAACTTGTTACAATTTCATTTATTCTGAAGAGCTACTAAAACATTAGATATACATGTATATTGTATTTTTCGAAAAGATCATTAAATAATGTTATAGTTTGTGCATTTGACATGTATAAGCCAATTTTTTTCTGATATGCTGATTAAATTGTCAATTATCATTGTAAATATAAAGATAAACTGCGCATTCACCGATATAATTTCTGTAATCTATGATTAAAATTCAAATTATCAAACGTTATAAGTTGGTAACATTTGGATAAGATTAGATTTTGTAACGGACACATATTTATTCACTCTGTTGTAATTAGTCTTTTAAAAAGTGTCTTGTTCGAATGAGGAAAATGTTTGCATTTGTATTCATGATTGTACTCTTGATCCACCCGGCGTCGACATTTCCTGATTCGAAAGGTGATGTTTTGAATAAAGTGCTTATACGTGAGATTGTTTCATCGTTCATGGAAACAGAGGAAAATGACTGCAGATCTTTAGCGAAGCATGTTGCTGATTTGAGTAAAGAAATGAAACAGCAAAGTATAAAAATGGACGATATGGTATCAATTATTACTAAACAATCTAACGATATCAGAGAATTAAAACATAAGCTCGGTATAATTGAAGAGGAGAATGAACGTTTTCGTAGGATATATAATGAGGAAAACGGAGAAGATAACACAACCGAGCAGAATTATGTAACCAACATTGAAAGTAAAATACCTTCTCGTGATGTCGATGATTTGCAAATTAAATCAAAAATTGTTGAGAACAAAGACGGGGGGAAATCGTTGATTAGTCAAAAAATAAGACCAAGTTCTACGAGATTTGTAGCATTTACGGCATATTTAGATCACCCGCTTGGAGGATTAAACCCATGGACAACAATTAAATTTAATAGAATAATTACTAATCATGGAAATGGCTATAATACATTTACTGGTATATTTACGGCTCCAGTTTCTGGGATATATTATATAACATATACAATTGAATGTGATCATAAGAAGACAAATGTACGCTTAATGATGGAGTAAACATTGTCGATGCCGTGGTACACTCTGATCCAGACTCCTTGGTATTTACACAATCAATGGCAACAAATAGTGCTGTGATAGATCTCACGGCTAGTCAATCAGTTTGGCTTGAGACAACTTATGACTATGACGCCGAACTTTTTAGTTCTGAAGATTATCGTTTAGTAACGTTTACAGGGTTTTTACTGTTGTGAATCAACACGACATGTTTATTTAATTGTTATGTTTGTCTTCACAGAACTTATAATTTAATTTAACTTATTAACTTTTCATTTTTAGAAATTAAAGTAGTTGTATGTACAATTTTAGAAATTAAAGTAATTGTATGTAAAATACTTCTAATCTCAATATATCAAAGGACACCTGGCTCAATCAAACTGACATCCAAAACCCTAAAACATAGATCATAGATGGGAAACTAACAGGGGAAAACATGAATAGGATATGAAAGAAATATACTAAGAATTAAACTGAAAATCGATTGTAATCGTGATACCTAGCCCAATTTGAGTTAACAGCGTTTTTCGAAACGTTCTCTTTTCAGTGTCATTTTGCATAATAAAAGTATTATTTTTGAAAGATGAAGTATACGAAAAAACAAAATGCAGAAAAATTTTTTGTCTCTCGAAACATGAACTATGATTTGACAGTTCTAAAATTGTTTGTCCAGACTACATCAAACAGTACATACAAAAATCCCGATAAAATTGTTCAAGTCCTTTCGTGTCCAAAAAACATTAGCAACTTTAGTGGAGTCGCTTTTTATGAAACCTTTTAGAATTTCACCCTTACGAGTGCAAGCAGTGATAATGATTGGCTTAAAATTAACGTCAGTAGTTCAAGGCTAGGTTGCATAGGTTGAAACCTTATGTCCGTTTTGTCTAGAAAACATTTCGATTACTGACCATTCCATATTTAAATCATAAAAGGTATACACAAAAAGTATATACAATATCAGCAGTGTGAACGCAGTGGTCATAAATTAATCACGCTAATTGTATATAATTCACTAGTCTTGCTTTGACTTTGTTATTGGACTCGGCCCAGTCAAATTTGAGGCTTAAATCTAGATTCCACTATCCTTGAAAATGATACACCGTCTTCAATTTTAGATATCAAGACTCTCCTAATCAAATGAGGCCCGAAATACAATATGTTAGCCATCTTCTTTTTCAGAATTCTTCATTCTGTTGTAGACTGTATTAAAGTGTAAAATTTACTTACTAGTATATAAACGTTTAATATTTGTCAATAAATATTCCAGAAGTGTTCATATTGTTTAAGACTTCTGTCAATATTCCTACATGTTTTATTACTTTAGTTACGACTGTTTGTTAACAACACCTTTCAAAACGGATTGTTTTAAAAAATATGTATTGACTGAATAGCAAACAGTGCAGGTCATGTTCAGTAGACACGGATATGCTAGCTGATCTTGGTCTGCTTTGATCGCTGTGTAGTATCAGGTGCCGCCAGCTTGCTAGGGTTAAAATATGAATTCTTCTCTATCTTTCAAAGTCTGTGAATTTTTTTATCTTTTTAGGAGAACATACGTTACATGTAGGTGTCTTCTATATTTGTATCAACTATGTTTTACTACATTTACTTAAACCGCCTCCGTGGTCGAGGGGTTAGAGTCGATGACTTCTAATCCAGTTACCTCTCTGGCGTGGGTTCGATCCCCGGGAGATGCTTTGGTAGTTTAGCGCGGAGGAAGGTAGTCTAGTACTGGTGTAACTCTCCAGGAACGATGGTTAGGAAACTACCCGCCTATATGACTGAAATACTTTTGAGAAAAGGCGTAAACTGAAACAAACAAACAAACAAACAAAACTACATTTATTTAAGGTACAGATTTTAATATATGAAAGACTTTGGCATGGATGTATTTCAATGTTAATTGATTATTAAACATATCAGAAAATATTTAAGTATTAATTATTTTAACTTACATGTAAAGTAATTTACAAGTGTGAAATAGTTTAGTTTTCATGACAGGATAGTTTATGAGATGATAATATCAAGGATATGATCAAAATTAAAATGTTGTATAAAGATATTGTGTTGTTACAATTATGTATCACTACAAATCTAGCCTGTATCAGTTTATGAGGGCATCTGAGGTCGAGAGGTAAAGGTCGTTGACTTTAAACCACTTTACGCTCACCTCTGAGGTAGCTACTACGCATGTGCCCGTTTGTGCCTGTGCCTGAAATTATAATGCACAGACGGGCAGCTTGTGTCTCCCTCCACGAGTAAACCTGAAAAGGTACAATATGATCTGCAAGTTGGTGTGACTTAAAACCAAACCGAAAATAATAATAGCCAAAGAACATCAATCATATTTGGTAAAAGAAGAAAGATACAGTCGACTCAAAAAGCTGTAGAATTGAGGGCACTTGTAACAAGGTCATTATTAACTTCACCTTGGATTCGAAAACCGCTTCTGCTCAATAATAAGAAATCAACTAGACACACACGATTTCAAACTCCATAGCGCAGATTTATGTACAAAGCATAGATGACTTATTTAGGTTGAGGTCACCTTTACCTTGATTTAAAAGCCCATTTCCTCCCAATATGGCAATGACGGTTCACGCAAAGTTCTTGAAAGTGAGCTTTTGTTATCCGTGGATCGTTTACCACAATTTCTGTCTAATGCATAATATTTAGGTAACAAGATCCCAAAATAGACTTTATAAAATGAAATCTTCCAGCCCTGGGCTAAATGCATGGCACCGTCTTGGCGGTCACTTAGGTTGCATAGTAAACATATAAATTGTCCCCTCTACAACGCTAAGACCATTTAAATATTTGACATGTAACATCGCTTTGTGGTATTCTTTATATGTTACATGTTTATACATGTACATCATGCCCCGTTAGTCAAACTCCCGTTTAATCCTTTTAATTCGCGCCAGCCCCCGCCTATGCAAATTATACAAATAGGCCCACATCATTTACAGAACCATGTTGCGCATCTTACAAATTTCTTGCGATTCTTCGTGAATAAAAAGCACATTTATATGTTAATCTGAATCAAACTGTATAAGAGTAAATTACATTCTACCCAAACATTTTGTTGATGATACTTTGAAGCTAAACTTGTTTTTTGTCTTTGAAATTGTCATTTATAAAACATCCCTGATGTCAGCCATTTCCGTAGTAAAGTAACTATTTTTCTTTATTTTGAAAACCTTGTAAAACATTAATTTCAAACTGTAATATGCATAAGAATTATTTATCTAGTATATTTAGTGTATTCATATGTCTGTCCTCCTTTTCTTTGTCATTGGTAGCTATTTGAATTTTATTGCCAGTTATCATTGTTCACATCTAATTACTTTTACCTTAATATCTGACCTTAAACTGCGCATCGAGCTATGTTTTAAACTTTGAATAATTGTCAAATCAGCATAAGCAACTTTAAGATAAGAATATTCCATATGAACGCAGTCCACTGCTAGAGAATTAAACAGGTGTTCATTGTAATAAATGACCTTACCAAAGATAAGAGTTTGAGTCGGACACATATTTATTCACTCTGTTGTAATTAGGCTTATAAAAAGCGTCTTTTGTTCGGATACTGAATAATGTTGGCATTTGTATTCATGACTGTAGTCTTAATCCACCCAGCGTCGACATCCCCTGATTTGAAAGTTGATGGTCTGACTGAAGCGCTTATACGTGAGATTGTTTCATCGTTCATGGAAACAGAGGGAAATGACTGCAGATCTTTAGCGAAGCATGTTGCTGATTTGAGTAAAGAAATGAAACACCAAAGTATTAAAATGGACGATATGGTATCAATTATTGCTACACAATCTAACGATATCAGAGAATTAAAACATAAGTTCAGTATAATTGAAGAGGAGAATGAACGTTTTCGTAGGATATTTAATGAGGAAAACGGAGAGGATAACACAACCGAGCAGAATTATCTAACCAACATTGAAAGTAACAAACATTCTCTTGATGTCGATGAAGTCGACATAAAATCAAGAGGTGTTGTGAACAAAGACGGACAGAAATATTCGACGAGTCAAAGAATAAGAGCGAGTTCTACGGGATCTGTTGCATTTACGGCATATTTAGATCATCCGCTTACGGGTTTGAATCCAGGGATGACTATCAAATGTAATATAATAATTACTAATCATGGACATGGCTATGATACATTTACCGGTAAATTTACGGCTCCAGTGTCTGGGATATATTTCATAACATATACAATCGAATGTCACTATAAGAAGACAAATGTACGGTTAATGAAGGGTGGTGTTAACATGGTCGACGCCGTTGTACACGCTCATCCATATTCCACAGATTATAGACAAACAATGTCCACAAATAGTGTTGTGATAGATGTTACAGCTGGACAATCACTTTGGCTTGAGACCACTTATGACCATGACGCCGAAATATATAGTTCTGAGGATTATCGTTACGTAACGTTTACAGGATTTCTACTAGCGTGATTCAGTCTGAAACGTTTCTTCGTTTGTTAGGTTTATAAAACAGATGTTACAATAAAAATACCTTTCCTTTTTAGAAATAAATGAAATTGTATGTAAAATACTTCCAATCTTAAAATATTAGAGGACACATCTTGCTCAATGAAAATGTGCGTTAACAAACAAATAAATGCATTTTTGTGAGGTGACTTTTTTCGTTAGTTTTGGGAATAGGTATGTTTTTAGTAAGAAAATAACATTTGCATGGTTCAAACTATAAAAAAATAGAATGCCATCTCCAAACTTAAGAAACTCCATGATGTCCAAAACCCTGAAAACACAAAGTTTTGAAATATAGAAAAACAGAATCCCTAAAGAAAGCTAAACACGGCAAAATCGTAAAATTTTGCAGGCTCGGTTTGAGTGAGCCTGTTCATGGACGGTACTGGAAAGTGCAAGTTATTGTCCACTTTTTTTTGTCCTTAATTCTACATTTCACTATTCTTGTTCTTGAAGAATGATATACTGTCTTCAACACTATCCTAG